TCGCACAGTGGAATACTATGCTGCATTGAAAAACAAGGAACTCATGCAATATTATTCAAAATGGGTGACCCTGGAGGACATTATGCTGAGTGAGGTGTCTCAGTCACAAAGGGACAAATGCTACATGGTGCCACTGTTGTAGAATGAGGCTGGCATTAGGGTGGGGGTAAGACTGAGAAAAACTGGATGAAATATGTCTCTTGTGTGATTTTAAAGCCTTTAAAAAGCCATGGAGGGCGAGCTCTGAGTTGGTTCTGACTCCACAACAACATCCTGAACAACAACACTTTGCAATATGTGATTTCAGGACCTCTTGGTCCCTGAGACTATTTGGTCCCTGAGACTATCTTTTTTAGGAAGTCAGCAAATGTGAAAACTTTTCAGAATAATATTGTCAAATAAGCTATTTGCTGGAGTCAGCAATTATTATTCAAAATAATATTTTTTGTCATTCCCCTCACATTGCTCATAAGCATTCACTGATGATTTCCAGAGTTTGTCTGATGTATATCATGGCTTGGAAGACAGAAGAAATGTGTGCTTGTGTATTCTTTGTTTTGAAAGTTTCTAAGTTTTAAGCTCTAGTAGGGGAAATAGTGGTAAATACTAATAGAAATGCTGATACTTTTAGTAATGTTTAAAACTAACCAAAGTCTTAAAAACTTAATGTTTTTCTGTTGTCACGGGCACACAGAGACTGTATCTAGAGCTTAACCAGGGCTCCCTCCTCCTGCTTTGGTGACTGCTGGAGAGGAGAGGAAGTTTTGGCTTTCCTCATGATCTCCACAGATACAGCAGTAGGGACACCCTCCCCACTTCTGAGACAAGATGAAAATCCTGAATTTCTCCTAGGCTCCTTCTGATGCTACCCAGCTGGAAGGAGGAGAAAATTTTTATTGCTTTTGTTTTGTTTTTCCATTTTTAATCAGTTTCAGTTACGCTTCCTGGTGATTGACTTCTCAGAATCTGGAATATTTGGGCAAAAAGACAGCCCAAAGAATATATATAGAGAGTACTGTCTTGTTCTTTGGCCATATGATTCCCCTCACCAATTTGCCACCTCACCACCACCACCATCACTTTTCAGAGTCTTCTGTTTGTTTTACATAAAAGGTTAAAGATTTTTTTGTTTTACTCAGCAGGAAAAATAAGGAAATGCTTATATATTTTATCTTCTTGAAAACAAGTTTTTTAATTGTTTTTTTTTAAACTTGTTCTTTAGTAGAAGAAATTTGACATTCAATTTCAATCTTACTCATTGTTCTTTATAGAAAATACATATTATTTTTTAATGCATAATATTATTAAAGAACATTAAAGATTTGATAAAGTAAAGCACTACTTGAGCAAAATTTTTACAAAAGCTCTCAAGTTAAATAGAAATTACATTAGAAGGGACATGACTGCAAGTTGAGATTTTAAAACTGTGAGGTAGTTTTGGGTAGTAAACTTGAGACCTTAGATTACCACGTTGCTATTGTTACTTGGTACTGTTGAGTCAAGTCTGACTCCTAGTAACTCTTTGTACATAATAGAGCAGAACCCTTCACAATCCTTTATCCTTCTCACAGTTGTCTATAAACTATTACTAAAAAATATGTTTTATTAAATCTGTAACTATTACTGTACAAGGAATAAATAAAAGTAATTCATTAAGTTTATTTTAGTTCACTATTAACTTTGAAGTTAGTTGTTTCTTAATTATTTAGAACATGAGATATTAAAACTCATTTTTACCTAATAAAGCATGCACACTCTATCATATCAGAACTTGCTAATGAATTCTGTGCATTTGGTTCTGTCAGTATGAGTTTGGAAAATGGAGTTAAAAGAACTTTACGATGTATTATGAATGTCTCTGTCTCCCTCTCTCTTTTCCCTCTCCTCTTCAAAGTTCCTCTTCTCATGTTTCTGCATAGTATAGTGTTTGTATAATCACCTCTACGTACAATCCTTGTACTTCCCACATGCACTTAACACTGGCCGGTATGCTTGTCGTCAAACTGAGCTATCTTCTTGTAGTGAAGAATGATTAGGATCTTGGAGTTCATATTCATAGTAGAGAAAAAAAATCTCACTGAGTCTCTTTTGCCATGGAGGAGAAGATAATCAAGTACATGATGTACACAGGATTGCCATGGTCTGTAATTGGGAGCAAGTTAAATGAATTGAGACTAGAACTGTTCCTCCTTTTCTTATGGCTTAGGAAGTTTAATTATCCACATCATGGATTTTTCTCTTCATTTATTCAGTAACTTTTAGTTTTAGGTCTTAAATGTATTTTAAGGAAAGAAAACTGAAGGAACAAAGAGAAAAATCATAAAGGTTATTTCTAGTAATAGACTATTAGCTTTGACTTGAAATTCAGAATTCACATTCATTTAGCAAAATCTTTTGTGTAACTTTAATTTTTTTTCCTAAGTGTGAACTTTCTATTATTGCTGAAAAGTAGGTAACATCTACTAAAGTTTTAGAAAAGCTGCTTCTTTGGGAAACTACAGTGCTTCAAAATAGGCATCTTGGAGGAAACTAATTTAAAATAGAAAAAGGAAGTTTTATATGATGCAGTATTACATTAAGTTTGCAGAAATTACTCTGGAATAATTTCAGATGGCATTATGCCATCTCTTAATAGATCTAGAAAATTAGAAACTGTGGTTAAACAAAATTGCTAACATTTTATGACTTTGATGTTCAAAACATGTAAATAGGCTCATGAAATAAAATTTTGGTTATGAGTAAGTAAAAGAAAATCATGTATATAGTATGCAGATGATTTTGTTAAATTAGTTCTTAAAAGTAAAAATGAATAGATGTTTCATGATTTAGTCTATTAAGTTTAGTGTACATAAAACAGATAGTGTAATTTAATTACATCATTATAATATTTGTTCAGAACTGATGGCCAAAAGAAAGGAAGAAAATTTCCCATCTCATGAAAATGCCAAAAGATCACGACAAGAAGAGGGGGAGGATTTCGATAGAGATGGTGACGAATACAATGGTACCTCCACTTTGGTAAGCCTCCAGTTACATTTTCCTTTTATTATGTTTCTTAGGTCTGATTTTTATATAATTTTTTTAATCATTCTAATGGTAATGATATGTTTAAAAAGCCAATTTTAAATTACCTATTCTGATTGGTTTTGCAGTACTTGCCAAAGAAAACTAATAGCAAAAAAAAGCAGATTCTTTGATAGCATGTACGAAGTGACAGACCTCTAGTAAAACTCAAACTAGGGAGCTTTGGTGGTCTAGTGGTTAAGGATTTGCTTTGCCCACTGAGGAGGACCTGGAGTGCTTGCTGCAGAAGGTCAAGGACTGTAGCCTTATATATGGATTTAAGCTTGACGTGAAGGAAACAAAGGTTCTCACCGCTGGGCTGATTGGCAGCTTCACGATAGATGGTGAAGTGATTGAGATTGTTAACAGCTTCAGTTTGCTTGGCTTCGAGTCAACACTCTTGGTATCAGCAGCCAGGAAATCAGAAGATGAATTACATTGGGAAAATCTGCTGTCAGGGACCTCTCCAGAGCTAGAGTACTGAAGAGAAATGATGTCAGTCTGGAGACTGAGGTGTGCCTTATCCAGGTCTTGGTGTTCACATTTACTTGCTATGTGTCACAATGCTGGACAGTGACTAGGGATTATAGAAATAGAATTTGATGCCTTTGAGCTGTGGTGCTAGAGAAGAGTATTGAATATACCATGGACTGCTAGGAGAAACGAACAGGTTTGTCCTAGAGATGGTGAAACAGGCTGCCTCTTGGAGGCAACGATTCAGAAGCTTCGTCAGACATACTTTGGGCATGTTTCAAGGAGGAACCAGTTGTTGGGGAGGGACAGTGCAAGAGAGGAAGAACATCTGAGATGGATTGACTCAGTGCAATGACTGGGGTAGTAGTGATAGGTGTGTAAGAGATGGTAAGGTTGGCTCAGGATAGAGGAGGGTTCAGAGTTGTTGTATATAGGGTCACTATGAGTTGCAAGTCACTCAAAGGTCATAATAATACCCAAAGATATGCGGTTAAAATCACTAACTGCTTCACAAGAGGGAGGTGGCCAGTCTCTTCCCGTGCAATTTCCTGCCTCTGAAAACCCACTGGAGGGTCAGCAATGATTCAGTTACATCTTGATGGCACATAATGACAACTCTTAAAACTGATAAAAGGGAGAAGAGACTAAATAATATCAGGATAGAAATATTAGCTCGACCACAGTCTCCAAGTCAAAATTATAGCAAGTTAATTATTTATAACCCTAAGGAACACTAGTCAGTGTAGTAGGTTAAGTACTGGGCTGCTAACCAAAAGTCTGGCAGTTCAAATGCACCTTAGGAGAAAGATTAATTGCTCTCCTGCCATAAAGATTTTTAGCCTTGGAAACCTGATAGAGGGTCATCAGAGACCATGGAATCCATGAGTTCATGGAGTGGACTTGGTCACAGATAGTGTATTTGGTTTGTTTTCTAACATGGTTTTGTTATTTTATTGTTAGATGCCATCAAGTTTACTGCAACTCAGAGTGACCCTTTTAAACAACAGATCTAAAGTTCCCTCTATCCTGCACCATTCTCATCATCTCTTATATGTTTGAACCCATTGTTACATTCACTGTGTCAGTCAAGCTTGTTAAGGGACTTCCTGTCTTTTACTGACCCTCTGCCTTTCTACTCAGTATAATGTCTTTTTCTAAAGACTGGCCTCTCTTAACAACATGCACGAAGTAGTTGAGGCAAAGTTTTACCCTCCTTACCTCCAGTGAGCGCCCTAGTTATATCTCTTCCAAGATAGACTTGTATGTGCTTTTTTCTGTTCATGGAATATTTAGTATTCTTATTTTAACTCCACAAGTCAGTTGATTCTTCTCATGTATTCCTTATCCATAGTCCAACTTTTAGATGCATGGGAAGCAATCAGGCCATTGGCTCTTTTGTTAGAACTTTTGTAAACTTGGCACCTCTCCTAAGTTTTAATACTGTGCATGTAAATTTGAAATGTAAATAATGTGAGAGTTTGGATTATTGTCAACACTGTGGAGATGGACATACATTCAGAGTATTTTGGTTTACTGCCACCTTTGAAAGGGATACCAATACCTGATTCCTATGTGGATTAAAATTGGATACACAAGTGATTTGGTTGCTGTACAAGGTGTATACTGTCCTTTTTTTCCATTGGCCAGGCCTGCACCTTTTCTCTTTTACATAAATTAACCAATTTATTACAGGCTAGGGATACTTCAATTGGGGGAGCTTTTACTGGTCTTTCAGTTCCTCCAGTCTTCTGAAGGCTGACTTCACTGTGACTGTGGAGGTGGTGGTGTAAGGTCCAGGTACCACCAGCGACTGTCTTCATTTAAGAACTGCACATCTCGTCTCTTTATTTTGGTTTTGTTGTAGAAGGAGCAAGTGTACTTTGGCATGTTGGCTGATTTAAATTTTCTTTACTCCCTTCCTGAGTGAGGCACTGTAACAGGCCCCATACTTACCGATGCTGCTGACTTTCTTGGCATGTTTAGCCATGTTGCTGTAAGCTAGCATCAGACCCAGAAAGCGGGCCTTTTCAAACTTGTTGGACGTTCTGCTTAATCTACAACTCAGAGTGTTGTAGAAAATTGATAGAGGGAAAATTGATAAATGGAATATCAACAAAATTTAAAACTTTTCTCTTTAAAAGAGAATGAAAGTTATGTCAAAATGATAGAAATTATTTGCAAATCACAGTGTTAACCAATAAAACTCTAATAGCATAATGAGTAAGTGCTTAACTGCTAACTTGAAAAGTAAATTGTTCAAACCCAACGGGTACTCTGCTTGAGAAAGATGTTCAGTCTTCTTCTACAAAGGTTACAAGTTTAAAAATCCTGTGGAGTAGTTCTTTGTCAATTTAGGATTGCTAGGAGTCAGAATTTACTGGATAATTGTAGGTTTGGTTTTTTTATTAGCTGAACAAGTCCAAATATTACAAATATATGAAGATTCTGAAAATTCAAAAATTAGAAACAATCCCATTGGAAATTGGTCAGAAGATATCTAAGAAGATAGTCACTTAAGAGGATCAGTAATGACAAATAAGTACATATAATGTTGTTTGGATCTAATATCTTAACATTAAATGCAAGTATAATTTTGCAAGAGACAACTTAGAAACAGCTTTAACCAAAATTCAGTCAGAAGAAGATGTGGAATGAGTGCTATCATTGCTGATCCCAGGCATTTGATAATACGCATCATAATAAATTATGGGTAGCTTTGTGAAGAATATGAATCCTCATACTCTTAGTTGTGTGTTCATGAAAGACAGCTACATAAACCAAGAGTCAGTGATTCTAAAAGAACAAGGAGATAAAACATGATTTAAAATAAGAGAAGATGTGTGTGAGAATTTTCTCCTTTTCTGTACTTATTCAGCCTATTTCCTCAGTAAATAATCTTGAGAAGCTGGATTGATTGAAGAAAAACACAACCTCAGGGTTGGAGGAAGACTAATAAAAAAATTGACATACTGATGACAACCTTGTTTGCTGAATGCAAAGAAGACTTGAAGCACTTACTGATGAAAAGGAAACACTCTGGCATATGGATTATGCCTAAACATAAAGACGACAGAAAGGTCTCAAGTGGGCCAATAAGCAACATCATGATGTGCTGGGAAAGATTGGCATGAGACAGATTTGATTTTACTTGAAACACAGTCAGTACTCCACCAGTCAAGAGATCAATATTGCATTTGGGAAATCTGCAAAATATCTCTTTAAAGTGATAAAAATGTCATCTTGAGGTATAAAACACACCTGGCCCAAACCGTATTATTTTCACTTGCCTTATGGGTATGAAAGCTGAACAGTCATTATGAACAGCTCCAGAAGAATTAATGCTTTTGAATTATGATTTGGGTAAAGAATATTGACTCTCCCATAGAGTACCCAAAGAAACAAACATACGTCTTGAATGAAGTACAACCTTCAGAAAGAAGTGAGGATGATGGCAAATCTTCACTTTACTTCAGTCAAACATGGCAAAAGATACCATGCTTGGCCAAGTAGGTCAGTGAATAAGACAAAAACCTTCAATCGAGATGGATTGGCCCAGTGACAGCAACAGTTATGAGAATAGTACAGGACTGGGCAACATTTCATTTTGTTTTGTTGCTGTTGTTATTATATACTGTCAAGTCTCCTGCTACTCATATGGACCCTATGTTCTACAGCTCTGAAGTCTGCCTTTTCTGAGCCAATCTCACTGATTCCCTGACTCTGACACACCTACCCCCGTTGCTCCAGTTACTGTTATCAGTTCTTCTTGTCTAGTGTCCCCCTTCCTGTGCTGTTCCTCTACCCTTCCAAGCACGATGTCCTTCTCTAAGGACCAGCCCCACCTGGCTACAAGCCCAAAGTGAGATGGAGCTTCAGAATCCTAGCCTCCAAGGAGAAATTTAGTTTCATCCTCTCCAAGACAGACCTGTTTGTTCTTTTGGCAGTCTATGGTACGTTCAAGACTCTTGTTCAGCACCACAGCTTAAAGGCATCCATAATTCTTCTGTCATTCTCAGTCATTGTCCAGCTCTCTGATGCATAGCCAGTAATTGCAAAGACCATGGCCTGGTTCAGGCACATCTTAGTCTCTAGACTGACATAGTTGCTTCTCAGTATTCTGGAGAAGTCCCTTACAGCAGATTTTCCCTTTGTCTTCCTCCCCCCATCTTCTGATTTCGTTCTGTTATACATAAGATATAACTTAATGGTACCTAACAAGAGTGTTGTTTAGCATAATTTACCATCAAAGCAAAACCAAACTCACTGCAGCTAAGTAAGTGGAGGACAATTTCAAGTGACCCTATAGATCTGAATAAAACTGCCCCATGGAGTTTCAAAGATGGTAAATCTTTAACAGAAATTGACTGCCACATTTGAGTTTCAACAGCTAACCTCTTGGTTAACAGCCACAGACGTAACCACTGTACCACCATTCACTCTTAGGGAAATAAGTATTAAAATCTCAGATATTGCTAATCACCTGTCAGAATACCTAAAACTAAAAATGACAACATTGAATGCTAGCAAAGGTTAAAAAAAAAGTAGATAATTTTTATAGTGTTGATAAGAATGTCAAATGAATCTTCAGAGAATTATGATAATCTTCAGCAATTTCATACTGTAAGATTTCATTTATATCACATTCTTGAAATGACAGTGATGTAGCAAAGGATGAATGGTTTGAGGGGATGCTGGTATCAGAAAGGGGCAATGTGAGGGTTCTTTATGATAGAAATGTTCTGTGTGTATATCCATATCAGTATCTTGATTGTGATACTGTTGTTTTGTAAGCTGTCCTCAGTGGCAGAAACATATACAATAAAAACTAACTTCTGGGGCAAGTTTGCTTACAATTACTTCAGAGTTTTTAAATAAATTTAATAAAAAAAAGAAAGTAAAAACAGCTATGAGATACCATCTCACCCCAGTCAGAATGCAAAATTTAACAGAACAGCAAGCAACAAATGCTGGAAAGGTTGTGGAGAAACTGAAACCCTTATTCACTGTTGGTGGGAGTGTAAAATGGTGCAACCCCTGTGGAAGGTGGTATGGCGCTTTCTCAGAAAGTTGCAAATAGAGATACCATTTGACCCAGCAGTTACCATAACTGACATCCAAGCAGATATATGCACACCCATGTTTATTGCTGCTTTGTTCACAATAGCAAGGAGTTGGAAACAACCCAGGTGCCCATCAACGAACGAATGGGTAGAGAAGTTATGGTATATTCACACAATGGGATACTATGCTGCATTGAAAAACAAGGAACTCGTGCAATATTATTCAAAATGGGTGAGCCTGCAGGACATTATCCTGAGTGAAATATCTCAGTCGCAAAAGAACAAATACTGCATGATGCCACAGTTGTAAAATGGCACTGATATCAGGGATGGGGTAAGACTGAGAAAAACTAGATAAATTGTGTATACTGCACTAAAACAGATGAGGGAGTGAATAATTTAATAGCGATGTATGATGGGGTATTATGGTTACCACAAGAGTCCACAATTAAGGTTGCATAGTGGAATGTACTTGGGGTGGTGGGAGGGGTACTGGGGGGATTGTGTACCAGGGAGAGAGTGTTTATTTTACTTTTCAAAGAGAGGCATGAACTGGGGGGGGGGGGGGGGGGTGCAGTGCTGGGCGGGGAAAGAAGTGCAGCAATGAATGGATGGAAATCCAAAATCTCTGTAAATGTTCATTAAAATTATTAAAATAAAATAAAAATTACAAAAAAAAAGAAAGTAGTCTTTCAACCATGTTTGTCGTATTCTACTCCAGTAAATATATTCTAGTTTTTAACAAGTGTGTACAGAAAGAGAGAAGCAAAGACTGTTTTTAGAAATTATTAAATAAAATGAAGGCATTTAAATGGTCTTCAGAGACATTTAAAGTACTGTTTGGCACATCAGTACTTTAAATTGGTTGTAGTTACCAGGTAACTACAAAATGCATGGTGACTACTATGTCCCAAACATTGTTTAAAACATTTATTATTCTTGTCTATAGATGGAGGGTCAGCTGTGAGTCAGTTCTGACTTGAAGGCACAGAATAATAAGTTTAATCCTGACCCATCTATAATAAAGGTGCTGTTACTCCCATTTAACAGAATAGGAAGCTGTATATTCTTAATGATGTTGTTATGTGTCATCAAGTCATTTGCGACTCATTGTGACCCTATGTATAAGAGCCCTAAACACCGTTCTATCCTGTGCCAACCTCGCTGTCTCAAACACATTCATTCCGACCACTCCACTCACAGAATCGATCCATCTCATCGAGGGTCTTCCTTTCCTGCGCCGTCCCTCCACTCTCCCAAACATGATGTCCCTCTCCAAGGACCAGTCTCTCCTTGCAACATACCCAAAGTATGTCAGACGAGGCCTCAGAATCCTTGACTCCAGGGAACAATGTGTTGCCAATAATATTAACGACTATCATAGTAAATAGCAGACACAGAAAGTCAGAGAAATGCAGGCTTTATCTTTTAAGAACAGATAGTTTTACTTTTTGAATTGACCATAAATTGGACTGTCAAATCACATACTGTTCAAGCATGATTGGCCAATCTTCTGCCAGGACGCTCTAAATACAATTTTTACTTTACAGATAAACTCCAGTTCTTCTCAGTCAGGGGAAACTGCCCCCCAGTGGGCATTTGAGTAGTGTCTGGCTATGATATAGCTGGGAAGGCAATTTGAGTGCTACTAGCATTTTAGTGGAGGGTAAAAGCTGGGAAAGGGGGAAGGATACTACTAAATATTCCGCAGTGTGCAGCAAAATGCCTCACAACAAAAGTTATCTGACCTAAAATGTCAGTTAGACCCTTTAGAAAGATTCTAGTAAGTGGCAACTTAATTTGGATGGTGAGTTTACTAGTCCTATTAAACTGATACAGTAGTTTTATTTTTTTTTTGATACAGTAGTTTTAAAGATCCCCATTTCATTTCAACTTGTTCATTAGCTGAATTTAAAATTATTTTAATTTATTTAATGTTGTCTAGAATTGATAATACTACTACTTGCCTACCAGTAAATGTTTGAACAATTACAGTGAGTGAATTAGCTTGATTGTTTTCCTAATTGTTTTTTATTTACAGACTGAAGCAGAAGTTGGAATAATTGAGAGTATACAGCTGAAAAACTTTATGTGTCATTCCATGCTTGGACCATTTAAATTTGGTTCTAATGTTAACTTTGTTGTTGGGAACAATGGAAGTAAGTGTTTTTATCCTTCTAATTTTACTTTGAGAAGAGAATGCATTAAATTTTTTGTAATAAAATCCTGTTAGTGCTGGTAAATTTTTTAATTTATTGATTTATAACTTAGGGTTATGATTATTTTATTGTTTCCTGCTGTCTACATTTTAAGAAAGTACTGGATTAACTCTCAGTTACTTATTTACTTAGTATAGATATTTTCTACTTTTATTTAAAAATGCATCTACCTTGGAATTATACCACAGTAAAAGTGAACAAGCAAGCTTTATCACAATAAATGTAGCCTTGTGTTTTACCAAAATGTTATAATAGATAAGGTGTACTGTGAACCCAAGATAACAGTGACAAATGCTCACTGTTCTGTCCACTAAAGAAAATGGTATTAGTGCTAGATCTTAAAAGGAAATTGTGAATTTTTTTTGGAGAAGAGAAAAGCAAGGATTCTAGGCAAAGACTGCATATCAACAACATTTGGAGGGAAAGTAGTAGATGGCAGTTAATTGGTTTTATATGATTTTATAATGTTGTAGATGGATGGGAGAGACAGAAGTTAACCCTGACTGGCCATATTGTCATTTGTATTATTTAGGATCTTGAATGTTATGAGAGAGATTTTGAGGTTATATCCAGAAGTCAGTGGGAAGCTAAGTAAGGGGATTTAGTAAAAGGATGATTTATTTCTATTGAATAACAAACTGGCCATATATCATGGTGGTGGTGGTGGTAGTGGTGGTGGTTGTGTACCATGGAGTTGGAAACGACCCAGAGCTGACCCTCCAGTGGGTTTTCAGAGGCAGTTAATTGCATGGGAGGAGATTGCCCATGCTTCTCCTGCAGAGCAGCTGGTGAATTTGAACCTTGTGCCTTTGGTTTTTCAGTGTGGCTTCTTGCCACTAGGCCACCAGTGGTGATAAAATAGTGGATGAATTAATTATGAGAGGGGAAATAGATCAATTAGATCAATTAGTCCATCAGCTCTTATAACAGATTGGTCATATAGAAAATGCTAATGTCTTGACAGAGATAGTTCATAAGGAGAGGAGAGTTGCCATATCCCATATACACTGCTGGATATTGAAACTAAATATGTGTAGTCCATTTAGTTGTTATTATTTCTTTTCTCTACTCTTCTACTCAGCCCAGGTGAAAGGATTTTTAAAAGAATGGGATGTGCAGTAAATATATTCATGCTACAGAGAGGTGATGCAGGGCAAGTAAGAACAAAGGCCATTGACTTCTGCATTTAGAACTTTTCGTCCCTCCATCTATTTTTTCTTTCTTTTTTTTTCTTTTCATTCATTAAAAGGTCCTTTATTAATATTTTTTTATTCTGAGTATTCTGTAGAAATACTATATATGGTAAGATGGCTAACCAAACAATTTGGATCACAGAAGGATTGGAAACTGCTAAGCATTTTTTTTAGTCTTTATATAATTAACAAATTTAGGCAGTGGTGTGGGATTAAATTGACAGTAGGTAAAGACATCATGTACTTGCACTAAAAACGGAAGGGCAATCAATATGCATGTATTAAACGCTGTGATAGTTGCTTCTACATATAATGACCTGAATCACTTTTTCCCCTTCTAAACTATAATAACTCTCACTGTACTTCATTTAGCACACATTATTATTTATTCCATAATCACCTGTAGAGTCCCTACTTCATGCTTAACACATACTTAGCTGCCCATATTCTTAATGTGAACAAGACATTAGTAGCCAGGTAAATCTGGCTCCCGCACTAGTTTTTAACACTTTTTTTGCCTTTGGACACTGCTTTATGATGATGGATAGATTAACTCTTTTTTTAAAATTTTATTTTATTTTAATAATTTTAATGAACATTTACAGAGACTTTGGATTTCCATTCATTCATTGCTGCACTTCTCTCCCCACCCAGCCCTCCTCCCCCTCCCCAGTTCGCTCCTCTCTTTCAAAAGTAAAAGAAAGACTCCCTCCCTTGTACATAATCCCCCCGCACCCCTCCCACCGCCCCAAGTACATTCCACTATGCAACCTTAATCGTGGACTCTTGTGATAACCATAACATCCTATCATACATCGCTTTTAAATTATTCACTGCCTCGTCTGTTTCAGTGCAGTATACACAATTTATCCAGTTTTTCTCAGTCTTACCCCCACCCTGATATCAGTCCCATTTTACAGCAGTGGCACTATGCAATATTTGTCCTTTTGCGACTGAGATATTTCACTCAGGATAATGTCCTGCAGGCTCACCCATTTTGAATAATATTGAATGAGTTCCTTGTTTTTCAATGCAGCATAGTATTCCATTGTGTGAATATACCTCAGCTTCTCTACCCATTCGTTTGTTGATGGGCACCTGGGTTGTTTCCAACTCCTTGCTATTGTGAACAGAGCTGTGATAAACATGGGTGTGCATTATTTTTTCTTTCTTTTTAAAAGAGAAAGTCATGGGTGTACTTGGAGGATAATGACCTGCTAATTTTTCCTACTTAAGTTTATCTAAAAATACTTGAGTGCCTATTATGTGTTGGTAGTAGGAATATAGCATGGAATTAAGTATATGTCCTAAAGAAGGTACAGCCAGGGTGTATCCTTGAAGGCAAGGATAGTGAAGCTTTGTCTCACAAAATCTGGGTATGTTGTTAGGATGGACCAGTCTTTGGAAAATGGACATCATGCTTGGAAAGGTGGAGGGTCAGTGAAAGAGAGCATGACTTGTCAATGAGATGGATTGGCCCAGAGACTACAGCAGTAGGCTCAAGTGTGTCAGTAATCATGAGAACGGTACAGAATAGGAAATAGGACAGAGTTTAGATCATTGTTCATAGGATTGCTATAAGCTGTACTCAACTCAGCAACACCTAGCAACATCCATGTGGAGCTTATATTCTCATACACATAGTTTCTGACTTCTGAAACCTTAGAAAAAATGGTGCTACAAGAGGTAATAACAAACCTAGAGATACATTTGAAGAAAGGCCTAGTGATGGTCCTAAAAGACCAGAACCTTCAAAATTTGAACACAGTTCTGTTCTGTATACATGGGGTCATGATAAGTCAGAATCACCTGGAAGGCACAGTTGCACTCCTAACTCAAAGGCTGCCCCTCTCTGGAAGTGCAGATCCACCAGCAGCTCTGTAGGGGAAGAATGAGCAGTCTCCTCCTGTGCAGTTTACACCCTTGGAAACCCACTGGAAATCCACCTCTGTGTTGGTTCCAGTTCAGTGACCCTGAAAGAGAAAGATAACATCATATGTATTGAGAAGGCTGAGTTATTTAATATGCTGATGGAGCAAGATGATTATAAGAAGTTTCTGAATGGAAAACCAGTTTTCTAATTTATTATTTGCAATAATTAACCTCTCAAAATATGCTAAATTTTTTCAAACAGCAGCCCTGGCATATTTCAGAAGCTAGAAATCTCTTTAAAGTTTTCTACTTTTTCACTAGAAGAAACTGATAATTGCTGTTTTACATCAGCGTAAGACCAATTTTGATTTTCATTCTGAAAATGTTTTGTATGAGATTGCAAGAATTCTTATTTTCTTTCTTTTCAATGAATGTAACTTGCAACCATTGTTTCTTTAGGTGGGAAGAGTGCAGTGCTCACGGCTCTCATAGTTGGGCTTGGTGGAAAAGCAATTGCTACTAATAGAGGATCTTCTTTGAAAGGTTTTGTAAAAGATGGACAAAAGTAAGTGCTTCATTTCTCCTTACGTTTTCAGTTCTTAAGTAAGAAGAACCACTTTGAATTCCCAGGACACATAGACATTACTTCAAATGAAGTGGCTTCTTGGAATAGAAAAACTACTAACATGTCTTTTTAGTTCCTTTCTCTCACTGTTTTTCCCCCCCAATATGGCCCATTGCTGTCAAATGTCCTATCTAGACAGCTTGTGTGGTGTCACCACTGTCATGTTACAACCACATAACTCTTTAGACTATTGTTTTAGATGTTTAGACTTACGTTGACTGAGCCCATCAACAGCCATGGAGTGGAGGCATAGCATAGTCAAAGATCAGCCAAGGTCCTTGCACGCAATTTTTATTTTCACCTTTAGCTCTCCAGAATTTTGTTTTTTTTTTAAAAAGAAAGTTTGACTCTTGATTTTTATTTATATCCTGTACTAGAAAATTACACAATAGGAGTTCATTTGATAACTCATCACATGTATAATTGTGGTCTGTTCTGGCCCTGAGCGATTGGTTGTATAGTTAACCACTCTTCTTGGTTTTGCACAGTTTTAAAATACACTCCTTTCAAAGAATGTTTTTGTGCAAAAGATAGAGGTTCTTTTGAGTCAAATACGACTCATAGCAACCCTATTAATAACAAATCTGAACCTTTCCTATCCTGTACCATCTTCTACTTTGATATACTTGCATTGCTAAGGTCACTGTGCAAGTCCATTTATTGAAGGTCTTCTTCCTCTCTTTTACTGCCTCACCTTTGCAAGCATGATGTCTCTTTCCAAGGAATAACTCCTAAAAACGTGTGTGAATATTCTAGTATAGTACCAAGAAGCCAAAGGAAAGGGAATAAATAAGGAATTTAAGGAGGTGAGCAGAAGATTTCAAAGAACAGCTTAGGAAAACAAAGCAAAGGATTATAATGAAATGTGCAAAGAGCCGGGATCAGAAAATCAAAAGGAACGACCTCTCTTGGCATTTCTTAAGCTGAAGGAAGTGAAGAACAAATTCAAGCCTCGAGTTGCAATACTTAAGGATGTTGTGGGAAGAATATAGAATGATCCAGGGAGCATCATAAGAGGATGGTAGGAAGTACACAGAGTCACTGTACCAAAAAGAATTGGCTGACCCAGTAGAATATCATGAAACAAGGTCAAGAAGCAATGGGGATGGAGGAAGTAAAAGCTACCTTGAAGAAGTTGACATAAAACAAGCCTCAAGAATTGATGTCATACCAATTGACATATTTCAGCAAACAGCTTCCTTGGATGTACTCATCAGGTTGTGCCACGAAATCTGGAAAACAACTACTAGGCCAGTTGACTGGAAGAGATCCATTATTTTATTCCTGTTCCAAAAAAAGGTGACATGATTGAGTGTGGAAATTATCAAACATTTCCACTAATACCACATGCAAGCAAAATCTTGCTGAAGATTTATCCAAATATGACTGACACAGTATATTGGCAGAGAATTGCCAGAAACATAAGTGGGTTTAGAAGAGGCCATGGCATTGGGGATATCATCACCAGTGGATGTTGGAGGAAAGTGGAGAGCACCAGAGGAATGTCTGTGTTTCAAAGACTATGCAAAGGCATTTGACTCTGGGTTACAACAAATTGTGGGTAACCTTGAGAAGAATAAGAATCCCAGAATACTTGATTGTTCTTAGGCAAAACTTATACTTGGAGCAGGAAGCATTTGTCAAAACAGAGCGCGGAAACACACATGGTTCAAAATCAGGGAAAAAGTGTGTGTCAAAGATGTGTCCTGTCTCCATACCTTTTCATTCTGTGTGTGGAACAGATCATTCAGGAGGCTAGACTTTATGAGGAGGAATGTGTCATTAGGATTGGAGGAAGATGACTCAACAACCTGTATTTTGCAGATGACACAACCTTGCTCACTGAAACTGAGGAGGATCTGAAGCATTGGCTGCAAAAGGTAAAAGATTACAGTCTTAAGTACAGATTGAAGTTCAACATCAAGAAAACAAAGATTCTCACCACTGAGCTATTGGCAACACCTGTAAAGATTGAAACATTTTCATCTTACTTGGATGCAGTCAGGAAATCAGAAGACAAATTATATTAGGAAAATCTGCTGTCAGGGACCTCTCCAGAGTGCTGAAGAGCAGTGGCGTCAGTCTGGAAACTAAGATGTGCCTGAACTAGGCTATGGTCTTTGTAATTACTTGTCAGAGATCTGGACAATTAACTAAAGATGGCAGAAGAAGAATCAGTGCTTTTGAGTTGTGCTGGTGAAAAATATCAAACATACTGTGGACTGCCAGGAGAACAAACTTAATTGTCCTGGAGAGAGTGTAACCAATTTTTTTCCTTGGAGGCAAGGTTTTTTACGTTCTTTCTCACATATTTAGGGCATGTTGCCAGGAGGGAACAGTCTTTGAAGGATACAATGCTTAGAAGGGTGGAGGGAAAGCATAGGAGAGGAAGACTCTGGATGAAATAGATGGACACAATAGCTGGAGTAATGGGCATAGGTGTGTCAGAGATGGTGAGATTGACTCAAGATAGGGCAGGATTCACAGTTGCTGTTCAGCAGCACTTAACAACAACAAAAACATTTCCAAAGTATGTGAGATGAAGCTTTGCCATCCCTGCCTCTAGGGGGCACACTGGCTGTTCTTTCTCCAAGACATGTATATCTGTTGTTTTGCATCCTTCGGATAATCAGTACTCCTCTACATCATCACAATTCAAATGCATTCAATCTTCTGCTATCCTTATTTATTATTGTATAGCTCTCAGATGCATAACAAATTGTTGAGAAGACCATAGTCTCAATCGGGCACACCTTAATTTTTAAACTGATGTCATTGTTCCCCAGTGATTTGGAGAGGTCCCTGACAGCACACTTCCCCAATGTGGTATGTCTTTTGGCTTCTCAACTGCTAGTACAAAGTTTTTTGATTATGGATCTAAATGAGATTAAATTGTTGTCAGTTTCTTTTCTCCTTCTGTCATGTTGTTGCTTAGTGCCCTAGTGATGATCATTTTTGTCTTCTTGATGTTGAGATTTAATCAATATTGGAAGCTGTAGTGTTTGCTCTTCTGCATTAAATATTCCAAGTCCTCTTCACTTTCAGCAAGCAATGTTGTATCATCTGCAGAATGTGCATTGTTGGTGAATCTTCCTGATGCCACATTCTCCTTCATAAAGTCCAGCTTCTTAAATGGTTTACTCAGCATACAGATAGGTTTGGAGAAAAGATATAGCCCTGGCACACAGTTTTCTTGATTTTAAACTCTGCTTTGTTCCCTTGCTCTGTTTGAATAACAGTTTCTTGGTTTAGATAGATTTTAGTGGTTTGGGATTCCCATTTTTTTTCAGCCTTACCCATAGTTTGAACTTCTGGCCGTTTCCTGTCCATGTACTGGTTTTGCATGATCTTCAGCAGTATTTTGTTTGCATGTGATATAGTTCATTAATTTCCACATTCTGTTGAGTCACCTTCCTTAGGAATGGGAACAGGTAGGAATTTCTTCCAGTCAGTTGGTCAGGTAGCGGTCTTCTAAATTTCCTGCTCACAGATTGGTGATCACATCCAGGGCAATATCTGTTAGTTGAAATATGTCAGTTGATAACCCATTGATTCCTGGGGCCTTTTGTCAATGCTATCAGCGCACCTCTTCCTCCATGACTCTTTATCATATGCTGCTTGCTGAAATATTTCAGTGTTGACCAGGCCTTTTTGTTTGGTTTTTTTCACCAAACCTTTTTGATACAGTGACTCATTTTTTTATCTTCTTTTAGTAACTATCTGAGCCATTCAAGATTTTGCCTATAGCATCTCTCAGTATTGCACTGGAGGCTTGAGTTTGTTTTTAAATTCTTTCAGCTTCAGAAATTCATAGTGAGTTCTTCTCCTCCCCCCTTCCAACTCCAGCATCTCTTCTTTGCTCTCTTTGTAATAGACTTTTGCTCTCTTCATGGGTGATAGCTTTGATGACATCCCACTACTCATCTGATATTTTCTCATTATTGTTCCGTTCTTCAAACATGTTCTTGAGATGATTTTTAAATTCAGGTGGGATAGACTCAAGGTCATATTTTGGTGCTTGTGGACCTGGTTTAATTTTCTTCAGTTTCATTTTGGACTTGCACATGAGTAATTTATGCAGATATCTGTTCTGTAGTCAGCAAGTGGTCTGAATCTCCAACAATTCCTTCCACAGATCTAGTCAGTTTTAATCCTGTGCAATCCTTCAAGTAAGATTCATGTGTATAGTTGCTATTTGTATTTCTTAAAAGACAAATAAGTCCACAAGAGGCAAAATTTGACCATGGTTATATTCCATTTGAATTTACAATCTATTGTAGAATAGATTTGGTACATTGAACACTAATAATTGAAGACCAGGTGAGTTGTGTGATGGCATCAAAGACATATCTATGAAAAAAGAAAAGGTATCTTGGAAGAAATGGAAGAAAAAAACCAGACCCAAATGAATGTCAGAAGAAATTCTGAAGCTTAATTAATTCTTCAACCTAGAAAAGCTAAAGAGAGAAATTATGAAATAGAAAAGCTAAACAGGAGTTTTCAAAGGGCAGCTTGCGAAGACAAAGCACAGTATTGTAAACAAATGTACAAAGAACTAGAGTTAGAAAACAAAAACTGATGAACCTACTTGACATTTCTCAAATTAAAGAAATAAAGAATTTCATGCCTTGAAATTCAGTACTGAAGGATGGTATGAACAGTATATTAAATGATGGAGGAAACACCAAAAGAAGATTAAAGGAATACACAGAGACACTGTACAAAAAGAATTGACAGATTCTGAACTATTTCAGGCAGTAATATATGATTAAGAACCAGTGACACTAAAGGAAGAAGTCCAAGCTACACTGACACTACTGGCCAAAAAAAAAAATTAAAGCCTTACAGAATGATAGAATACTGATTGTAAGGTGAACATGTCATGGTATGAAGGATATCACTGTTGATGTCAAATGAATCTTGCTTGACAGCAGAGGATATCAGAAAAATTTTTAGTTTTGTTTTATTGACTATGTAGATCATAAATTTATGTAGAAAAGAGGTGGAATCCCAGAATATTTGCTGGTGCTCATGTGGAACCTCTTTTGTTATGTGCAGTCGAGTTTGGTACAGCTCATAGCTACTCTATGAACAGCAGATCTGAACTGTTTTATCCTTTGCCATTCTCATCTCTACATACTTCAGCCCATTACTGCTGTCACTGTGTCAGTCCATTTCTCTGGAAGTCTATCTTTTCGCTAAGCCTCAATCTTTCCAAATAATAGCCTCTTTTAAAAAAAAACCACACAAAAAATAAAACCTTTTGGAGAACAAAAAAACCATTGTCCAAACATAACTAGGGAATACCGCATGGTGTAAAATCAGTAAAGGTGTTTGTTCATCAGGATTGTATCCTTTCTCTATACTTATTCAGTCTGAGTGTGGAGCGTATAATTCAGGAGGACTACATGAAGATGAATATAGCCTCAGGACTAGAGGAAGACTTCTCCCTTTTTAAATTAGTATTTTTAATAATGAGAGTAGAAACCAATTGTACATCAGTCTGAAGGACAGTGGTATTGAGGGAGAAGCACCACTATGCCCACTGCTTTGGCAAACATCAGCTGTCATATTGTTGGAGCAATCCCTTGCTCAACCAAGAATGCATATGTGATTTTCTACAGAAATTATGATGCCATGAAGGATTTTGAGATTAGTCAAGTTACTACTGTCTATCAGAGTGCAAAGTAGTTTTGCAATGTAAAGAATTTCTTTGGTTTGAGTTCCTTGAAAAGTTGTCAATGACCTGTTATTTTCTTCCCCCAGTATGCCAAGTTTTTAAAATGTTTTTATTTATTGTATTTGAAATATTCTTCAGTGATACATTGGTCTGAGTGAGATTCTTTGCCATAGTCCTTAACAGCCACACAACTGGAGCCAATCTCTTTCCTTCTTGGTCAGTTTTGCAGAGGCCTGCCCACTCCGCTAGTTTTTTGTCATCAACCCTTATCAAGTTCAGCACAAAGGGCCTCTATTAACTTGACATACCTAGGGTCATTATGCAAGCATGTGGATGCAAACACACGGAGATGTGCTTGGCGCTTGTCTAAGGCATTGGCAGCTTTGAGGATTCCATGTACTAGGCCATCGTCGTTGAAGGCCGCCTTTAGCACCTCTTGTAAAGCAGTATTAACATCCGTTACACCTCCAGTAGCAATGTCTTGCCTCAGCCATGGAGGCGACAGGTGGAGTGAAATTCTGAGCATACCTGCACCTCTGCACAACTTGGCAGTGACTGAGAAAAAGTTGACTTTTGTTTTTGAACTATGAAGTGTAACTGACTCTGTGGCCTAAGGAGTAGTTCCCTTGATAAATAGTAAAGATATTGGGAGCTTTAATGGATTACTTAGAAGCGTTACCAATTTTAACCCAAGCAAAGGTTTCAGATTGATTCTGGGAGAGAAAAGGCATGCAGAAAATAATACTAATTTCTCATGCTGGTTGACCTTGGAAAAGAACTGTTTGATTAACAGTTCTGTAGCATATTTTGTCTCCCCTTTCTTCCCTTCTTAAATAAAATTCTCATTTAAAGAACTAGTTATTATAACATTTTCAGTTAAGCAGATCAGTTTGAATTTGTTATACTTAATTTTTCTTTTCTGTTTTCTAAACAATCATTCAGTCTATGTTGATGTTTCAAATAGAAGTTTGAAGAAGATAAAAGATTTTTATGTATCACTAAATGTTTTGTTTCAGTTAAATACTTTTTTTTCCATTTGGAAGTATCTGGACTAAAGAAGAAACTGTTTTACATGACCCATTCTCTGACTATCTCTTTAAAGGGGGGGTGGGGGTGTGTGTGTGTGTGTGTGTGTGTGTGTGTGTGTGTGTGTGTGTGTAGGCAGGCTCGCTTATATAAATCACCAGTTTTCAAGGTCATAGCTCCATCTAGCTCCATCCAGTAGGGAATAGAAATTTGATACATATAACAGTCCACTGTTTTGCAGCCTCTGATTCTCTAGTCCAAATTGATCATTAAGGTTTTCACTTCTATTACTGTTAGCATGCTTTTAAAAATCTGTGCAATTGTTCCATTCTCTCTGAGGCATGTCTTTCAAACTGGCACAGAATTGAAGAGTCTTAAGGATTTCCCACCCCCTTGTATCCTCCCCTTCAAACATTACAAACACTAGGGTCAAGATCTGGGCCTTAGCTCTTCTTGAAGGTGGTCTCTGTATGGCTAGTGGCTATTAGATCTCCTCCTGTGAAAACTTTTCTTAGTGACCTAAAGCTTCATACTCCTGGCTGTTGAGATCCTCCTTGACTGTTGAGATTCTCTTTAGACATATTTACTTTTTCCCCCTCAGCCATCTCAGTACTTGCCCTAGCAGTATGATCTTTGCGCCAATTCTCCTTTTGACATCTGTAATTTTATGAGGGGGTTTTGGGACATGAGAACTTGTATTCTTGTTATACATTCCTGATTTATTTATGTACCCACAAATAAAGTACATTTTATAGCTGAATTGACTGCCAGAAGTGAAAGAACACATGCATCATGTTTTTAATTGGCTTTTTAAAATTGTCCTAGTTTCCTGTATGTGTATGTGCCTGGCTGCCATTTACCTCTGTTTGTATAGGTTCAATAAAGGTTAAGAGAAAAGCCCAAATCTTCTTATGGCACTACTTGTTTATATTTTCATTCTAAAAGAACTCTCATTGATTGTCTTTTCACTCCTGTGTTTCCAGGCCTTAGGCTCTGTGGCTCATCCTAAATTTAGCATCAGCAGAAACTCACGTGGTAAGGGAGAAAGCAGACTAGTTGTCCATCTTTTTCCACTTATTTTCTTAGTCATTTGTTATGAGACTCTTGAAACAATTTTAAAGACATTTCCTTACAGTTAGTAAATTTTAGTAAATTATATTCTTATGTTTAATAAATAGCAGTAGGATACCAATAAAGTTTAGTAGTATAAGAATTAATGCTAAGAAGATAAATCTCATATACAAGGAGTGAACTTTGGAGTGAAGATTAAATGAAGTAGACATTTGGTAATGAGATGAGTTGTTGACAATGTAGAGAATAAACACATGTAATCATTTTATATTTTAGATAGTTTCATGTAGAAAAATTAAAAAAACAGATTTTCATGAGGTGTATTTCCTTAATACTAAAAAAAATCTAATGCTAAGACTTTTTTGAATAAAAATCAACAAAGGATCCCTTGAAGATGTAGTCTTCTTGATGGCACCTGGAAGCAATGCTGCAAGCACGTTGTCTTAATCAAATGTTTTTGATAAAAATGACATTAAATTGTTCATGGTCGATTTTATGTGCTGTTGAGTCAGGACTCAGAGTTGACCATCCGTGGTGGGTTTTCAGAGGCTTTAAATTGCTGAGAAGAGATTGCCCCACTTTCTCCACAGGTGAGCTTTTGCATTCAGACCACCTGCGTTGGTGTTGGCATTGTAACTCTTTACTAGTAGGCCACCAAAGCTCTCTAGAGAAAGATATTTTCCATAATGATGCAGGGATCTGTATCTTGGAAGCTGGGGAGTAGAAGTGTTCCTGGATTAAGTTAAAAGTTACAACACAGAAATTTAAAAACCAAAAATCTTCTGTCTTTTTTTTTTTAATATCTTTTTTTCGTGTGTGTGTGTGTGTGTCTCTGTCTTCCTTCCATTGTTCCATTGTATATTTCTTCCACTATACCACCTTCCTTATCACTCTCTCTTATACTCAATTTGCTCCTCTTCTGTGCTCAACTCCTTCCTGTCCGTTGACAAGTGTGTGAGTATGTGACTGTTTCTCTTTTATTGTCTCTGGAATATTTCTATTCTTTCTTGTTTTTGGCCATACTTTGTGTCTATGTATTTTCATTAATGTCACTGTGTGTAAGTGTTGTTGGATTCGTGTCTCTGTTTCACTCTGCCACCATTTGTGAATTTGTATGTCTGTTGCTTAGACTTTCCCAGTTATCTTACTAGTTCTTTGCTCATGCTTATCTTAGCAGTTTTGTAGTCCAAATTCATGAAATTATAGTAGTTTATTAAAGATTCCATTTACTTACTACTTGAAACAGTTTAAGAAGATGAGCCTTTTGGCAAATGTCCATATGAACTGCTTTTGTGTTTAAGGGAGTTCTTAGACATATGTATTATTGTTATGCCATCAGAGTATTTTCTTTCCATAGTTGAGTATTGTTTAAACAAAAGTTAAAGAAGGAACTAGCTTGAGATGTAACCTGACATTTTTTTTAATAAAGATTAATTTTTTCTTTATTATTTTAAAATACTCATAATGCTTTACATTTCTTTTTAAAATGTTAAAACTTCAACAGATTATTAAGAAAACTTACACTCTTAGCATTCATATGTGTGTTTAGCTGCATTATACTATTTTAAAATGATTGTCTTGTGATGTCAAATTTTTACGTCATTTGAGATTTATTTTACATTTCTTGATATAGAAACATTTTTACTATAAAGTAATTATAAATTTTTATTTGTTTCACTTGCATTTAATCTTGTTAAAAAATATTACTTCATGATTCTCATCAGTTTATTCCTAAAGGCTGGTTTTTGGCATTGTGCTTTATTGTATTCTGGTAACCTAGTAATATAGTTGTAATGCATATTCATGTGACTTTGCTTATCCTCATTGTTTTTAGCTCAGCAGATATCTCAATAACATTAAGGAACAGAGGAGATGATGCATATAGGGCAAATGTTTATGGGGACTCTATAATTGTGCAACAACACATCACCATGGATGGAAGTCGATCTTACAAACTAAAAAGTGAAACAGGTTTGTTATGTATTTATTTTTATTTAATCTAAATAGTAGTAAATAAATATCCCAATATTAATTTAAAACAAAATTATTGTGTTGATATTCATTAAAAGAATACTTGGTTTCTTGAAACTAATTTCTTATAAGATTATTTGTATCTCACAAGTTGTATGTGTGTATATGTTATATACACACATATATGTGTGTATATATACACTACACAGAACAATCTAGCAGCAAAACCATGATTAGAAGACTTGTCAGTTTGAAACATTTTGTCATTGCCCTCTGGTCCTCTTTACTGCTTCTAGTTTCTGTAATAATTCTGTATCATGAAAAAGATGTTTATTAAAATGTGGGAAAAGAACATAAGGAGGTGAATTACTCAAAAGAAGAGATAGGCGAGAAATACAGTATTTGTGGAAAGGCAAGCAGCTCTATCACTGCATTTTTTTTACATACTCTTGTGCTTAGAATGTGAGTCTTGTTCATTCATATACTTTCCTTAATGATTATATTTTATATATTTACCTCTGTCATTCCTGTAATCAAACATTTTATTATGTTTCTCATAACTAGGAACTGTGGTTTCTAATAAGAAGGAAGAACTGATTGCAATTCTCGATCATTTTAACATACAGGTAATTACCAAATGTATGTTTCAGGTTAATTTATGCAATGATGAATCTGTTGTGATTCACTCTTATTGTATAGAATTGTGTTGACTTCTTAGAAGTAAGTTAACCACTAGAATGAATATGTAAAATTATTAATGAAGTTCCTGAAAATTTGCTGGGAAGGATTTCTGTTTATATAAAACTTTAATTTGACTGAGCAGGTAGAACACCTGTTCTTTAATTGTATATGCTGAGATTTGTTAATAAGGCTGTAATGTGAAATTTGTTTTTTGCTATTCTGTTTAAATGACCATCATAGTATCCTCAGTTTGGTTGCTAAATTTTTCACAAAAGCCAATTTCTTCTAAAAAGCTAAAGAATTTCTTCAGAAATGGAGTTAGTACTCTCATTTGTCAGGAGCTCTGGTGACATAGTAGGAAGTTGTGCTGCTAAAGCCACACTTTTCTGGTGGTTTGGATCCACCCATGGCTCTGTGGAAGAAAGATGAGCAGTCTCCTCCCAGGCAATTTACAGCCTCACTATCTGACAGTCAATTGTGAGTCATTTCTGACTCAGCGGCAGGTGGGTGGGCTTGAGTTTGTGAGTCACATATGTAAAGACAATGAATTAAGTGCTTTTGCTGAGATGTTTTTTTCAGAGAGCTTTGGAAATAGGGAACATAGAGTTGTTGTGACATTAGTATTAGAATTAAGAGTCTAGGAATCTTTCCCAGTTTGATTTAGAACAGAGTTGTTACAAGAGCTTTCTGTTGTGGTGGAAGTATTCTGCACCTTGTTTCCAGTGTGGTAACACTAGTCACATACAGCCTTTGAGTCCTAGAAGTGGCTAGAGTGACTGAAGTTGAAGTTTTACAGAGAAACAGCCACATTGCCTAGAGTGGCTTCCATATTAGACTGTATAGGCTTAGAAAATGATTTTTAAAATCTAAGGGAAAACGCAAAAGTTGGGAACAGGGAAGAATGATCAGTAGATGGAAAACATGGGCTCGGTGAGAGAAATGAGGCTGGAGATAGAATGATAGAGTTCTGCACATTCGATGATTTATTCATTGCAAATACCTTTTGTAAGAAACATAGGGTCTGGAGATGTAGCTCACCGGTGGAGCACGGTGGCTCATGTGCTGCGGCTTTCTAGTTCATGGTTCATTACCGCTACCAAGAAACATAAACGCAGGCTATACACATGGATTTCACCTGATGACATCCATAGGAATAAAATAGATCACATTTGTGGAAAGACTCAGTGGAGAAAGCTCAGTATCAGTAGTGAAAACCAGATCATTACAAAAGCTGAAAAAGAAGAAAAGACCAAGATGGATGTCAGATGAGACTCTGAATATTGCTTTAGATTGCCAAGAAGCCAAAGCTAAAGGAAGAAACAATGAAATTAAAGAGCTAAACAGAAAATTTCAAAAGGCAGCCTGGGAAGACAAAGCAAGATACTATAATGAAATGTGCAGAGAGCTGGAGTCAGAAAATCAAAAGGGCTGAACTCACTCAGCGTTTCTTAAGCTGAAGGAGCTGAAAAACAAATTCAAGCTACTGGTGACTATACTTAAGGATACTTTGTGTAGAATGTTAAATGATCCAGAAAGTATCAAAAGAAGATGGAAGGAGTACACAGTCACTGTATCAGAAGGAATTGGCTGACACAGAAAAATTTCATGAAATGACATATGAGCAAGAGCTTATGGTGATGAAGAAGGAAGGTCAATTTGCCCTGAAGGAATTGGCAAAAAACAAGGCTCCAGGAGTTGACGGCATACCAATTGACATATTTCAGCAAACAGACACTGCACAGGATGTGCTCACTAAATTTTGCCAAGAAATCTGGAGGACAGCCAGCTGGCCAACTGACTGACTGGCCGACTGACGAAAAGATCGATATTTGTTCCCATTCCAAATAAAGGTGACCCAACGGAGTACGGAAAATATCGAACAGTATCATTGATATCACATGCAAGCAAGATTCTGCTGAAAATGATCCAAAACCATTTAGAACAATATGTCAACAGAGAACTGCCAGATGTGCAGGCTGGATTTAGAAGAGGTTGTGGTACTAGGGATATTATATCTAATGTTAGATGGATCTTGGCAGAAAGCAGAGAATACCAGAAGAATGTCGGTCTGTGCTTCATTGACTATGCAAAGGCTTTTGACTGTGTGGATCACAACAAGCTAAGGCTGACTCTGAGAAGAATGGGAATCCCAGAACATTTGATTGTGCTAATGCAAAACGTATACTTGGACCAAGAGACAGTCGTCAGAACAGAGCAAGGAGACACTACATGGTTCAAAATCAAGAAAGGGGTCGTCAGGGATGTATTTTGTCTCCATACCTTTTCAATCTGTATGCAGAAGAGATCATCCGACATGCTGGCCTATACAAGGAGGAATGTGGCATCAGGATTGGTGGAAGAGTCATCAACAACCTGTGTTATGCAGATGACACAACCCTGCTTGCTGAACCCGAGGAGGACCTGAAGCGCTTGCTGCAGAAGGTCAAGGACTGCAGCCTCCTATATGGATTGAAGTTCAACATCAAGAAAACAAAGATTCTCACCACTGGGCCAATTGGCACCATCAGTATGGATGGTGAAGAGATTGAGATAGTTAATAGTTTTAGTTTACTTGGTTCCACAGTCAACACTCTTGGTAACAGCAGCCAGGAAATCAAGAGACGAATTACATTGGGAAGGTCAGCCGTGAGGGACCTCTCAAGAGTACTGAAGAGCAACGACATCAGGCTGGAGACTAAGGTGCACCTGATCTGGGTTATAGTCTTCACAATTACACGCTATACATCAGAGAGTTGGACAGTGAATAGGGATGATGGAAAGAGAATTGACGCCTTTGAGTTGTGGTGTTGGAGAAGAGTATTGAATATAACATGGACTGCTAGGAGAGCAAACAGGTTTGTCCTGGACAAGGTGAAGCCGGAATGCTCCTTGGAGTTAAAGATTCTGAAGGTTCTTCTGACATATTTTGGGCATTTTGCAAGGAGGAACTGGTCCTTGGAGAAGGACATCATGTTTGGGAGAGTGAAGGGGCTGCGAAGGAGAGGATGACCTTCAATGATATGGATCGATTCTGTGAAGGGAGTGATGGGAATGAGTGCATTTGGGATAGCTAGATTAGCACAGGATAGAACCGCTTTTAGAGCTCTTGTGCATAGGGTCGCCATGAGTCGCAAGCGACTTGATGGCACATAACAGTAACAACAAGGGAAAAGAGATAAAACATAAATTTCAAACTAGGTTGTAGGATAGTGGAATTCAATTTATTAAGTAAGATCAAGAAAGCCAAAAGTTGTAGAATCATAGATGTAGGGCGAACAATGTTGTACTTCAGGATGGATCTTGATAAGTTCTTTTTGATGATGATTTTGATATGATATCATCCCTCTTCAGTTTATCATTTCCAGCATAATCAGTCATATCTGTGCTTGATTCAGAATGGCCAGTAATAGTCCCTATCAGCTCACTCATTTTCAAGATACTTATCTTTGTGTGTGCCTTTCTTTTTGGTGACTTTAGTTTTCCAAGATGTGCTTTATACGTGCCATGTTCTGATTATCAGTGGATGTTTGTAGGTGTTTCTTCTCATTTTTT